GAGACGAGAGAGAGAGGAGAGAGAGAGAGAGAGGAGGAGGGGAGGGAGGGAGAGACACTTCACTCTCGAGCCAAGACTCGGGCACTTTAAGGGGACTCGATCTCTGACGTGTGACCACAAGTCGCACAAGGAATACCTGAGCACCACAGGTAGAGAAGCACCAGGAGGAGCAGAGGCTCTTCCACTAGCACGTGGCCTCAGGCAGCTCTGGGCCTCAAAAACGGGAGGGAAAAGGGACCTGGCTGATACCACTTCACCTAATTACTAGACAAGGCTGCTTCTTTTCTAGGGAAACTTTGTGAATGTAAATCGGCAGCAGGGCCCTCGGGGGGCCCGCAGTCCTGGACGGGGGTGCGCTTGGTGGAACTGGCTGCTCCCCATGACCCCCGAGATTCGGGTGGGTCCAGGAACCCTGACGCTGAGCCGTGCTTAGTGGCAGCAGGCTGTCCGAGCCTGGGCTCATCCCCTGCCTCTGCCTCTTGCTTCATTAAAATAAGGCAAGTAGACAGAGAAAGGAAGGGTGCAAGTGACATGAGAGGGAGCAGAGGAGACGCAGTGACACAGGTCTGGAAAACGCAGCAAGCTGCTCTCGTGAGCGTGCAGGGGGCCGGGCTCTGCCCTCTTCCCATACGCCAGCCTGGGCACACCGACATGGCGGCGGGGGAAAGGGCAGACCACCTGCACAGAGTCCTCCTAAGGAAGGTTTACAGGGGGCACAAGAGTGAGAGGAAAGCAGAACTAAAGTGAGAAACACAGGAGGAATGTGCAGGAAAAGAGATCAACAGCCTTGGTTAGAAAAGAGGTGTCTGAGGGAACAAAGATCTTTGACCAAAACCTTATCACCGGATCTCTAGGATTCACTCTATTTCATGTATTTTCAACAGGAAATGGGGACTGGTTCCCCACACCCCCGACTTTCCTACGCCGACACATGCACTCCACTGTAACTGATGCCCTGCCCTCCAGTCTCCAGGGGAGACTCTGGGACGCTGGCAGTGCACGCGTGTGTGCAGGTACGAGAAAGACGGTGCATGGCAGAGCATGTGCGTGTGCATGCACACACACCACACACGTGCACACACACACAGAACTCAGTCCAAACGACTCTGTCCTCTACCCTCCTCTTGAGGAGGCCACAGTCATGTCCGGACCGAAACAAAAACAAAACAAAACTCAAGGGTCACTGGAGAGCAGGCACTTGGGGAAGAAAGGGAAGGCTCCCTCCGGGTCATCTCCAGGGAGGCAGCCGCCACCCCACCCAGTGATTTAGTGCAGCTGATGCCAGTCAGCGTTTTGCACGCCCACCACGGGAGTAATGCCGCAGAAAAGGTCTTGTCTCAGGCTGGGCTACAGCTCGGGAGGGGCTTCAGCTGCATCCCTGGTGCCAGAGGAGCGGGTGCAGGGAGGACTCTGAGTCGTGGTCCTCTCCAAAAGCAGCTCTGGTCTGAGTCACAGGACAAGCCCCGTGCACTCCTCAGGGGGGTTTTATTTTTTAGTGACTCCTGTTACTTGAATTCTCTCCTTCCACTGATGGGGGTAACTGTGAAGAGAGACTGGGAGGAGACCAGAGGGCCAGAAATGTTCCAAGATAACCACCTCTCTCCCAGCAAACCCTTCCCTCCCTACAGAACAAAGCCTCCTCTGACAGCTGAACCCAAGGAGGGCAATTCACCCCCCACTCGGTCTAGGCTGGATGGGGAGAAGACTAACAAAGTGAGACGCGCAGACGTCTCTGGCAGATCTCAACACGTCGTGCAACTGAATACACACCTAGAATGAACATAGCCCACTAAGAAAGACAGTTGACACGCTTACCTGTTTTAGTTAACCACCGCCGAGCCCTTCCTTCTGTGACTGAGCTGGCAGAAAATTGACAATAGACCCCCCTTGACTTGGCCCATCCTGGTGACATCTGAGAGCATTATTCAGACCACAGCACAATGAACTAACCAAAATTAATTTCTTTGACTCAAACAGACACGTGAAAAGTTACAAACTTAAAATTCACCGACAATTCAACCAAAGAGAGGTGAACACCACTCTGCTGGAAAGATCCTGAGCAAAATGACGGCCACAGGGTCTGGGAAGGAACAGCGTGTTCTCTGAAACCAGTCAGCGCCCATCTCACCAGATCCAACAGAAAAATTATAAAATTAGCGTAACTACAATGGAAATCAGGCACCCGTGACAGCTAACTCGAGGGAAAAAAAACTGCTCTGAACACATTTCAGACAAAAAGACAAGCTCTCTAGTTTCACCGCTGAGTCAGTGGACACCTTCTGGGCTTCCACAGTCTAAGGACAATGCCCTGAGACAGGCGCCGCCACACAGGACTTTCACTAGACTCCAAGCCCTCAGAGGGCCCTCTAGCTCCTCCACCAAGTCTTCCACGAAACCCGCCGTGTCAGTGAGGCTGTATCCCTCAGCTGGCATCTGAGGGGAACACAGTAAAGAAGAAAACTGACAGCAGCACCATGCACCTGCGTGGACGTGAGGTGCGGGGGGCGCAGGGAGGTGAAGAACTCACCCCGTCTTCCTCAACATCACTCCGCCCCAGGAGACTCATGCTTCCGTGACTCGTGCCAAGGAGTGAGGAGGCCAAAACGTCTCCGGGATAACCCCCGACCAAAGCGCACAACGCGATCGAGCAAACGAGTGGTGAGCTTACTCGAGCAATGAAGTCAAGTGAGACGGACCACTGCCTTCTCTAGGCTCTCAATGAGACTGTCCGAACCTCCCGGAGTTCCAAGCCCCAATACCACGGGTACAGGTGTCCTCAGTGGTCTATCTTGAAACAGTTCACTTTAGTCTTTGACTTCAGAATCCATGCATCTTCCTCCCCCGTTAGGGAACCTGTGGCACAGACAAGCACCTGGACTGAGGACCCAAAGCACAACCTGGAATCCGGGTCCTGACTGAGTCGGAAGCAGCCACCAGGTAAGGCCGGAGTGACCAAGGTCAAGTTCTCCACCAAGACACCTGGCTGTACCTGAGGAAACCAGCATACGTGACCTTCTTCGACATGAGAATTACTTTGAGGGGCGTTTGAAAAACAGCAGGTGTGAGGAGGGTGCCCTGACCTCCCCTTTCTTCCTGAAAGCGAGAGATAAAACTCCCCCATGAAAGGCGTCCTTCCCACACCGACTGGGAAAAGGCATTCTTATCACCAGAGCCAGAGAGCTGAGGCCAAGAGAACGCTGTACAAGCAGACCTCTCATCTTCTGCTAGCTGCCCGGTATGTCCTGGCCACTTGTCCACAACCGCCCCTCTCTGTCCAGCCTGGTGCAGACAGAGGCCTTCCCCGAGCCTTCATTTTGCTTGTGAAGGCGCCCGTGCACACATGAGACAGACGAGTTAACACACTCCTGTTTAGTTTTTCTCTTGCGTATCGTTCTTCTACTACATGGTCAAGAGTCTAGAAGGGAAGATTTTTTTTCCTCCCCTCCATAATCAAGCTGGTAATTGTATCATGAGACCAGAAAGAGCTCCGTAATCCAAAGTGCTCAGAGGATAACAAAGCACTATGTTCTTGACACCAACATTCTGCCACTCGCAACACAAGTGTGCAAGTGTGTTTAGGAACCTGCACACGTGTTTTAATGAGCACACAGAAAGAAGAAGAAAGGTTACCAAAGGTTATCTCTGGATAATAGACATTTCCTTCTTTAACTTAACTTAATTTTCAACAACTGACACACATTATTTTCCTAATTAGGAGAATAAAAAAAACCTAACAGTTTAGAAGAGTAATTTAAGAATTTAAAATGAGCTTTCTGGCAACTCACACAGTGCAGGTCCTCTGCCTCACCCCCGGACTGAGGTCCTCACGCCCCCGTGCTGTCCAGCGTCACCGCCCACCCCCCCGCTGCGGCTGCTCCCACCAGCGGTCAGCTGTAAGGGGACGCTGAGGGGAGCCTGAAGAACTGGAACCTTCCTGTTACTCTGCCCTCTACTGGGTCAGCGTTGCCTAGCACTCTGACCTCCCCGGCCACTCCTTCCTGTTGGCTACAGTGACACCAATCTAGACCCATGACTTCTTGAGATCAGAAATGCCCGAGTTTAGGTTCTTCCTGGAGCAGAGGGGAGGTAAAAGGAGCCCAAGATCAGCCATCAGGCCATCTTCACCCTGCTGACCTGCCCGGGGGGTCGGGAAGAGAATCCCGCCTCCGTCCATTGGCAGTCTTCCCTGAGCCCGTGGCAAACTCCACGAAGCCTCCCCAGCGCAAGCAGGGCCAAGAATCCTGCGCACACGAAGAGTCTCACTTAAAACCCTAAAAGCAGGCCCTCGTAAGGGATGGCCAGAAGGGCACAGCTCTGAAGGAGGGACCAGTGTGAGCAGCACCACCCGCCGTGCACTTCCTACCGGACCCACCGTGTGCGCACGTGTGCACGCAAGCCCCGGCGTACACATCTGACGCTGCCAGGCAGACAAAGGCTGGCCTCTGAAAAAGTCTTCAAGTGAAGAAGATGAAGAGAACTTTCGCTCCTGGCCAAGAAGGAGCATCAAGGACTAGAATTACTCCTGCTTAAACAACTAAAAGTAGACAAAACAGGTAAAAAAGTTTTAGGACACTGGACACCAGGGATGAAGGACAGTGAGCTGTCTTCTGACAGATGGGAACAGGAGGAAAGCCCTACAACCGCCCGGCGCTACCCTGAGAGCCCAGGATGTAGCAAAGGGAGGGGACAGCCTGTCAGAGCCCAGACGGTCCTGAGCTGAGGCTGGGAGGACATGGTG